AGGGATTTTTAGGTTTTTGGGTTTTAGTAGTTTCTTTGCTCAGCACCCACTCAGCTCGTCAGATGACTGGTTTTGCATCTCTCTTTTTCCCAGCTGTTTTTCTGAGACCTGCCCTAGATCTGCAATGGCAATTACACAAGCAAGAACCCCACTGGCTTTTAGTTCAAGCCATTTCAGGGGCTTCATGTGTTCTGTCAAGGTCCTCAACAGCTTCAGTGCAAGACCCATCAGCCTGGAAGACCTGCAGGCCTTCAGTATTGAAGTCTGATCAGAACAGTGATGCTCCTCTGACCCAAATAAGTTCAACAGAAGGGTGAAAAAAGCACCTCTTCCCAAAATGGCCCTTTCTTGGACTGGAAATACTGGTCAGCTGGTCACATCAACATAGTGAAACATTTCAAAAATTGTTATTATTATTGTTTTGGGGTTTTGGTGTGGGGGTGTTTTTTTGTTTGTTTGTTTGTGTTGATTTTTTTTGTTTGGTTTGTCTGTTTTGTTTTGTTTTTTGGGGGGGAGGGTGTTCGATTTCTGGAAAAAACTTCTGTTGCAGTTCCCTCACATAGCTCAAGGATACCACAGCATCAAGATTTGGATAAATTCTTTGGCCACATTTGCAGGATCAAAGCAGCAAAATCACATCCACCTCCTGGAAGAACTGGCTGGAGGAGGCATCAGCGCACAATCCTAGCGATTAATATTTTTGTGACAATTTCTGAAAGATGTGTCTCTAAATCAGGAGTGCAGCAAAAGAAGGGGAGGAAAAAAAAAGAAGAGAGCTCCATCAGAACACGCCTGCCAACCAGTACAAACATCACAATGCTTACAGGACAGCTTTCAGTCCTGCACACAGAACGCTGCTGGACACCAGCAGAGAGGATGAACTTCCCACGTCGTACCAGCTCCACAGGATGCAATCCTCCTGCCTTCCTGCCTTAAACTCTTGTGTTGAGTGTTAACAGTGAGCTGTTAAACAGCTGCAGACTTCCAGCTCTTCAGTGGCTACACTGCAGACCGGGATCCAGCAAATTTTTGCACATGGGTAATTTTAACCATCTGAGCACTTAACTCCCGGGGAGGAGGTTGGCACAGACATCTTTACCCAGTCAGGAGAGAAACGTTATCGTGTAGCCATTTGTAAAGCACCTTGGAAGGTGAGCAGATGCTTTTAGCAGCTGATTTTGACAACTTCCATCTCTGAGCTATGAAGGAGAACAGGAATAACAAAAAATCACTTTATCCCATTTTCCACAACTCTGATAAGGTTAAGTGTGCATGGAATTTTCTGCTGCCTAGACTGAAACCCAAGATAACTCAGCTGAACAGGGGACAGGTGACACGGGGTCAGACAACCCACCTACCATCCCATGGCTGGGTCCTGCCCCCGGAGCCTGTGCTGGCCTGGGAGCAGGGATCAGACTGCAGCCTGTGCCAGGAACAGCATGATGTCCCTGCAGATCCTCCTGTTCTCTTTATTGCTGCTACCATTACCATACAGCATTCTCTCTTTTTTCTTCATGGAATGGGAGAGAAGGAGAAGAAAAAACAGCAATCTGGATTTTGAGCACCTCCCTTCCAAATTTTATCTATCCAAGTCAGAAAAGGATGCTCTACAAATATAAACACTTCTGACATTTCAGTTTTGCATTTTCCTATGTTGCAAGCCCAGTCCATGAACAAATACCCTTGTTCTAGTGCCTTTCTAGCGTAAGACATGAGGAAGCTTCACTAGGATTTCAGTCAAATAAAAAAATAAAGCCAAGGTTTTGGTTTCCACACTACAATCCTGAAACCAAATAACACCCCTCTACTCCCTCCCCACCTCTCTACTGCTGAGAATTAACTGAAAAATATAGCTGTATAGAGGTGGGGTTTTAATACTTTTCCTGGATGGAATACTACTTGATGCTGCTAAGCTTTGATGACATACCCCAATGACTTCCTTGGAAGAAATCCATTTAGCAAGCTTGCAAATCATGCTGTTTCAGTTCTGTGAGTGCCCATGAGACATGTGCACTCTCAATCATAAAAGCTGTAGAAACAAAATGGAACTTGGAGACTCAGACAGACGAATTCCTTATCACGGCTTGGCTGTGTTCACAGAACATGTGCTTACCATTTCCAACTCTGGAAAACTGTTTACAGGAATCTGAAATACAAGACTGAATCCAAAAGTAAGAAATAGATAAATTTCTAGAGCAGTTTGTTTTTTTTTTTTTTTTTCCCCTTTCCATTTCAAAGGAAAAATGGAGACTGATTAAAACCAAAACAACACCCTCCCCCCTCCCTGCAGCCTTCAGTTTTTCCTAGGAATATAAAGGCTTGTAATACAATCTAGGCACAGGGTGCCAGATTTACAGAGGTCCCCTTACATTTATGTGGCAGGATACTTCATTCTGGGGAAGGCTTTGGGAAAGGAAAGCCTTGCACTTTCTTTACCTCTCATAAAATTCTCTTGGAACGGGAAAAGCAGAGGCTGCAGTGGGGATGAACAGTAAACAGATCCCACTGCCACAGTGTAATCCCCACCAGCAGCACATCTTTGAAGCACAGTGCCAGGAACCCAGAAGCTTCCAAAAAGATCAGTCGGTCATGTTGAGTCAGGAGAGAAAATAACTCTAACAGGGAATTTTCTAAACTGATTGAAAATGGTCTTCCCTGACATATGGCATTTTCTGACATATTTTCTTAAAAACACTATTTCTTCAGGATTCAGTCAATGACAACGCCTTTGACTTAACTGCATTTGTTTCCAAGAAGACGAAAAGAAGCGAGTTAGAGCAAAATGTGAGATGCGCAGTGCTGCAGGCAGTAAAAACTGACACAGTTATTTTCCTGGTACGATGAGACAACTGCCTCTTCCATTGGCCAGGGCTGTCTCATCCTTGCCTGTGCTCTCTCCTTGCCTGTGTTTCCATCTGCTGTCTCCTGTCTGATCCTTAGTTTGTCAGCTGCCTGCATGTCCTCAACTCCATCACTGTGCTTTGTTCAGTGAGGCACGGTCCTGATCCAGGCCTAAAGCTCTCTCTGGGTGCAAGAACAGTACAGCTCGTTTGCTATTGACACTGCAACAAAGGGGCCCTAAATTATATATTAGCAGCCTAAAAAAACCTAGCAGCATTAACTACACTCCTAACAGAGTGCTTGGAACAGTTTCGTGAAGGTTTTCTCTTGCAGGAAAGCAGGTTTAAGAAGCATATTTCCTCCTCACTGTGCCCTCTCAGCTGTTCTAATGCAACCACTTGACACCCTACTGCAGTGGCTTGCTGTAGGGTGAAAGAACATCTCTACCTTCCCCAAAAAGGCTGCTGTTTTAAAAAGCCCTGATGGTGTCAATAATCTGATTTATGGCACAGTTTCCCAGACCGCAGCACCAGCACAACCTCACAGATACTCTTCTCTGCTCCTGGTGGCTTGTCACGGTGTAAGAACTTCTAGAACCAGCTTTAACACTGGAGATGATGCTCATGGCATCACATGCTGAAAACCAGCTCCCAGTAATGCTGTCTCATCTGTACCATTTCTTTTTTTTAAGTGATGTTGTATTTAGGATGAAGCCTGACATGCTTTTACCCATCACCCAAATCTACTATTTACATGTCTGTCAAGACAGACTAGAAATCAACTCTATAAGGTGCTAAAGAGACTCCCTTTAAAGTTGAATCCTCTGGATATTACCTGCCTTGGACAGTTGAAGCTCTCTATTTTCTGTTCACCCTTCTGCAGCAAATCAGTAGAACTTTCTGGTCAATGAGATCAAAGTAAAACCAAGAGGAACTTCTAATCTTTCTCTATTATGGAGAGATTAAATCAATGCAGGCTCCACAAAATAAGTATAATGAGAATCATTCACATTTATGAGTATCTGCAACAACAAAGTGCCTCTCATTAAGTGATGCACTGAAGCTGTGCAGTTGAAGTTATATGCTCCAGTGTCACGACAAAGTACAAGTCAATCAAAAAGGAGCATTTATTCCTAGCATTTGAGAGATGCTTTCATGCCCCAAGTTTTTGAAAGTATCTCCTGTTTTCCATAGGCACCTCATGAAAATCTCAGACTGGATGAGGAACAGATCAAAATCTGTGTTTGCCCTGCTTGGAAAAGAGCTCCTCTCCTAGTTTTCCTACTGGAAGATGTCTGAATTTATCCTTTTTTTATTTTGCTTGGATGCTGCTTGGCGCAGACACTCCTACCTTTCTCTCCAACCACTGCTGGACTGACCACACTGTCCCAATGGAGGCATCAAAAAACGAGCAGTCCCTGCAAGGGTGACTAGAAATTACCAGGCTTCTGAAGGGTTGAGACTGCAGCAACGAGCTCTGTCTCATGAGAAGGAGAAATTTTCACTGAAAATTGTAAACAACCAACCTTACCTACCCAATCTCTCTCATTCAGACATGTTTCAAGATGGGGGGAAAAAAAACACCTTCAGGAAACAAACATCAAAATGCTGAAAAAATTCTTATAATTCCATAAAAAAGAAATTCTTCATGACAACAGTACAAACTCTAATGGTATTTTTTACAGTTTTGAATTACTGTCTTGTGACAGCAGTCTGAACAAGCTCTGAGGATACTTAGAATTTTCTTCCACACTTTAGTTCCAAATATATTTCCCTTTGCCTCAGGATTTTGACAGTACTGACATCATATCAAGCCAAGCATCTTTATCCATCAGTGATACAGACTTTTGCCCCGGATTTTAACACCAATCACCTCCACACTCATCTGGACATACAGTATATATTTAAATAGCCTTTATTGACATAAACTCACAACGATTCTGAAAGAATTGCATTTTATTTGCTTAAAAATAATTGTTATATTCACAAACAAAATCTTTGCCTAAATGTATAATCATAACAAAATTATTAGAACAACAGTAGAAAATAAACAATTCAGAAAGACTGGTTTTTGATGAAACACCCAGACACTAGCCAGACAAATGTGCCAATGACCAAGTCTTCACACAGCAACTGTCATAAAAAGCCATTAAGTTTTTTTTAAAATGTATCTGTCCCTGAAGAATCTGAATGGCCACGTGTACTACTCACACTCTCTGTTTGGTTATTTGTGTCCACAGAAGGCAGCTCCACTGATACCTTTGCTCCAGAAATGTGGGAAGTCAAATGTGGGGCAGCATCCTCTCCTAAAAAATTTAAAAGAGCAGAACAAAACATATTATTTGCTGTCTATGACAAAACTAAAGTGCACTGAATCATCTCCATACTGCATCACTCCATAGAAATGCGAAGGCACAGACACTGTCACTGTCTGCAGTCTGGAGGTGTTTCAAAGAGCACTGGTTTAGCCATCAGAGTTCTCCTTATCAGGTAACAAAAGATGAATTTCTGTTCATACAGACAGGGTTGTATTTACATACACACACCCATACAGACAGTCACACACACACACATATAATCTCCAGTAGGCCCAGAATCATTTCAAATGTGTATACTGGTGTTTTCCACAGAAATTAAATGAGTCCTGCAGATACTAGCAGTATTTCTAAATTCTACCTGTTCATATCAAACCCTTAGAAAACATTCAGGGTGTTCAAGACCACATATTTATCCACAATCATAAACAGCAAAGCAACTCAAGTTGAAGCCATTGGCTAAAAGACTTATGGACAAAAACACCCTATCAATGCTTCAGCTGCCCAAAATACGAGGGAGAAGTTAGTTTAGCTCTCCCCTGTCACCATCCCATTTCCCTGACTCATTAAGGGTCCTTCTTGCTACTCCTTTGTGGTTTATCTCCCTTCTTTCATCTTCTGACAGACTCCAGAGAAAATGTAAACAGCCTCCCACCCTGGAGATGTGACTTGCAGGACTTTACAAGCCACATTCATCTTCCAGCAAGCCCTAGACAGCACCTTGCCCCTTCCCACTCATGTGATCTGACCCTGCACAACGGAGGATCTCCTGGGAGAGGGACGGGGCCCAGCAGAGCACAGCCACCACCATGCCAGCAGACCCTGCAGGGGAGGAGGACATGGCCCACAGAGCTTCCAGCAGCACTGGCTGCTGAGCAGCTGTGAAAGGTCACTGCAGTGCTGAAAAGTCCTCCTGCCTGGGAACCAGTAGAGGGGTAGAAAACAACCTGTAGCCAGACACCAGAGATGAAAAGGGAAAAGGGTCACAGGCAAGAGTTACTCTGTTTAGCCAGAGAAAGGAGATAAGATGAATCTTTTTATGGAGCATGGGGAGCAAGACATGCATCAGGCTACAGACACAAATGAAGGAGGACAGAAGAAATGGCATGGGACGAATGGTACAACATTCACAGAACTACAGAAAGAGCATTCTGAGACTGCACTTGTCCTTGGGATGTTTCTTTTCAGTGCAGCAGCTACAAGCAAAACAAACATGTATGAGTCTCTGTACAACAGCAAACGCTCTCTTGGAGTTTGTTCTTATTCCAATAAGCTGTAACAATTCTCCCTTCTTCTGTGATAGACTAGGCAATTAAAACATTATTTTCCCAATAAAACCAAGAAGCTAGGCTTTCTTTCACCCCAGGTAATTATCTGCTATGTCACTGTAGTAGTAATCTGCTTTCATCCGACTTGTAGTAAGGCACACTTCAAATGGCTAATTAAAACAACAATAACCCACTGCTAAAATCAAATTTCATCTGCTGTTTTTCACGCTAGAAGAGCCAACAGCCTGGGAAGTCAAGCACGAATGAGGCCAAAGCCAGCAAAGCCAGTACATGGAGCAACCTGTGCCAGCCAAGCTCCCTGCCCCCCAGGAAGGCAGGGCTCTGGAGTGGGAGCAAGAGCACAAGAGCATTTTCTGTGTCCCCAGGGAATCAACACGTCCCCTGCTCACCACAGCCACTTAGTCTTTGCAAGAAGCAACATCCATAGTTTCACTGGACTACCCTCACTAGCTGAACAGCGTTCATCACCCCCAGCTCAAATCTCTCTCAAAGCACAGCTGCCAACCTTTGGCTTGGCATAGGCTTGAGGAAACCCACCACATGAGCAGTAATGAGACATGAGAAATCCTACATCTTCTGGACATTACTCAAAAGCACATTCATGGTAACACCACCAAGATGTGCAAGCACATATGTGTTTTGTTTTTCCAGAAGTACTTCCATGAGCTTAGTCTGTAGCCACGCTTGTGTGATAAAAATAGGGTATTCAGAAGGGGAACTGAAGAAAATCAAAGTGTTTATTTGGTTAGATGTGAAGCTGACACACAGTAAAGACGTGAATGTGTAATGCCCAAAGAAACTCTGTAAATCATCCCACACGCTAAAGCTACTCTCCAACACTAGATGTAGTTTGATGCTTTCAAAGCTTAACTTTGTTAATAATTTCCACAGTCATGTCACATTCCATGATGTCATTGTTTCAACAGCTGTTTTCAGGTTTGTAAAATAAAAGAGAAAAAGGGGGGTTGGCGGGGGGATGGGGAGAATATTCCCTTATCCCAAGGATCTGTAGTAACTTCCCAAGTATTTGATCCTGGGGTGCTGAACAAAAGTATCATATTAGTCTATGTTCTTCCTAACACATACTCTAATGTATTTTACAGACATACTATAGTTCAGTTTTATGATAGACATAAAATGTTAAAAGGACAGAAAAATTAAGAGTAATTCCATCTACTTGCTCAACAGAATGGTTACCAGGCCCTGAGTTATCTAAATATCTGAAAGATAAACTTAAAAATACTCAAAGTAAATATTTCCCTTTTTTAAAAGACAGAAATCTGAAGTTTTTGACTTTGTTAGATGCAAACAGAAAATACAGAACCTGAATTTTCAGCATTTTATCTTTAAAAAAACCCTATGGATACCCTGTCTCAGCTACATGGGAGATTCTGCTCCATGATTTTAACATTCCAGGATAGAAAGCTGCCAGTCCTGAAACTTCATGTTGGCCCAATTGTACAACTGCTAAGTTACTCTCACTTGCACTTTACCATTATCACCATAACCACCTAAGATGGTTTCCTCTTAAACACTGAGCTCTTCAACACCACAAATAAACAAATTGCAACCGTGCTTATAATCTTCTGATCTGCCATAAAAATGGAATGGAAAATTCCTCTGTTTACAGAGCAGTGCAGGACAGGAAGGCAGGTGATCCTCCCAGGTTTTTTTCCCCTCTTTAGAGGCTCTGGAAGTACTCAGTACAATTTTGTAATCATGTACTTAGATGTATCTATAAAAATTTTCCTTGTTAAAATCCAATGAATGGAACATGTGACCTGAGGTGACCTCCAGCTCTCCAAATTCATTGTCACTGTCTAACAGAATACATTCATATAAACTGTGAAAACTGACACTTGTAATAAGTGTGTAAGGGTCCTTGACAGGTAGAAACTCAACAGTGACTGAAAACATCTTGGTGACCCACTGACAGAAAAGGTCAGATTTGATTAGAAATTTTTCCTCTTCTTGGCAATCTATAACAAATTCATGTACAGTACTAAATTTCCCCATCTTTGTTTAACAGAAACATAAAAATTAATGGTGTGTCAACCATCCAGTGACCTGTGAAGGGAGTTTTTCTCTAAGAGGCACTGTCACACAGAGAACATGCTCCATGCAAGTGTATCATGACTGTAAGTCAAATGGAAAAGGAATTAAATGCACTGAAGGGAAGTTTGGTTACTAATACCATATGGCAACAATAAGAACAAAGAAAAAATGTTTAAACCTTTCTTTTAAAATTTTTCTATTTGGTAAAATAAAAAGACTAAACAAGTCTGACTTTTAAGCCAAATGAAAACCACATACTTTAACTCCTTCAACTCAGTGTCCATACATTAAATAAAACTTTCATTTTTAATCTATCCAAAGGCAAATGAGACTCATACCTTGCAAGTGAAAAGAGCTATCTTCAAGACAAAATACAGGGAGAGGTTTGAAGGATCAGGACCCGGGTTATTGTTTCAGTATAAAACCAGAACTGTAATTACTGTAATTACCTACGTATTGCTTCCGAAAATTTAAAAACAACCATCAGTCCCCAGCAACCCTCCCTGTACTCTCAAACGTAACAACTGAAGCAGCTAACTTCTAGAGCAAGAATAAACTTCCAGGCTTATGTAAAAACAACTCCAGTGCAGAGCTCTCATTCCTTTAATAGCACGGGTTGATACGAATGGCTTGTTTCTTCTTCTGCCAGATTCCAGCTGCTTCACTTTGTTTATTACTGACTTCAAAGTTTAAAACACTGTCCTGTCCCAACAAATAACTTCCTCCAGATGGCATTATCTCAAGTATTCAGAGCACTGGGGATAACGCAGCACCTGCAGATGTGTAACTCAGCATCTTAAAACCTTCAAAGAAATTCCCTTTTTAATTTTTTTTTCCTGTGTCATTCCCCTATTTTGCTTTTTCCTGCACAAAAAAAAAAAAAGAGCTTTACATCTGGGATATAGTTACAAAGACCACTAGCAGGGAAACAGAGTTGTCAGGAATTCTGCACATTAATGACTGCAAAGTAGAAAAATATCTACAAAGGTAACAGAACCACTACCAGCAGAAACGCTTCAGCTCCTCCTGTAAGTGAAGATGTGAGATGTGGATTTGTGCCAGTCAGTGTCTGATCCATGTCTCTGTGGACATCAGGATAATACCAAAGAAAAATTCACTCATTTTCATATGTGGTTGTACAGGCAAGTTACCAAGCATTAGCAATCTCAGAAGCAGCATTTTCAGTAAAATCAGAATTATCCCAGACTCGCTGGGCTAGCATACATTGATAAGAAACATCCATATTTTGATGTGAGCAATTCTGAAGGCTACACTGATAGGAGAAAATAGACTGCAACGTCTGTCACCTTACTGAATGACAATTACATACAGGATTTCCAGTTCAGACTCATGTCCAGCTATACCCTGCATTGTGGCTACATAATTCAATGCCTCTGGAATTTAATGGCTTATACAGCTGAAAGTGTGTAAGGTAAGGAACTAGTCACATGGCCTTGATTCAGTAGAGAATACAACAGTCTCAAGAATAAGCAGGACCATCAACAGTTCCCCAAATAATCCAACCATTTGGATGCAATTATTCTCTATTCATTAGAAATTATAACTCCTCCACACTTCTAACCCTGGCCACCTTGAAACCATATTTATGTTACTGTGGAGAAGGTGTCCTTCCTCAGATCTGCCAGA